CACATGAATGGAACATTGAATGAAGATCATGAACAGTTCCTCAGAACATGGCTTCTCCAGCTTACTCCTTGCTGCCAGAGACTTGACAACGCTTCCTCTCACATATCTGAGCCACATTTGGCTTGAGAGAGGAGGCACTTGAGACCCTCAGTATGGCTTGAAGATGATCATCAGTAAGTCTGGACCTGTACTTGGACTTGTTAAAGTTCAGGGTGGAGAAGAAGCCACAACGAGGAACGGCGGGCGGGACTTCCTTCAGAAGTCCATTCCCCCTGTGGGCCGCACTAATATTATACTTTCATATCACGGTGGGGGCCACAGGATATCGTCCTGCGGGCCACAATTGGCCTGCGGGCCGCGAGTTTGAGACCCCTGATCTATACAATTATGTATATGAGATAATATGATTACAGATAATCCTCACAACCATTCATTCAGTGACTGTTTGAAATTACAGTGGCACTAAAAAATGGACTTACAAACAATGTCCAAAGTTACAGTCATTGCAGTACCTCACGGTCACCTAGTCAAAATTCAGATGCTGAGCAGCACTCCTCCTTGTGACTGCAGAGGTGTTGTAATGCTCCCAACTGCCTATCTTCCCTGATCATGTTTTCTAGCCATGCATCCTATTCTCATGATCTTTTGGGAAACTTCTGGTTGGACATTAATGGGAACCTGAAGGAACTGAAGATTAGGATTAAAAGGGAAGAACAATTAAATTTGACTCACTAATACAGAATGGAGCAAAATACTTTAACATTGAACATATTGAAGGATATTTTTGAACAATGAAGAATAGTTTTACTAGAGAAGACTGAGCTTGATCTAAAAGTGGATTTAAAATTGACAGGCTACAAGAGTGTTATGGGTGGAAATGGTATATTGAATATATAAATGTAACTGGTTGGTGTCTTAATAATTAAAAGGGATTTACGAAAGAGATGTGTCAAAATTTTATGAGAAAGAATAAAGAAAAAATGAAAAGAAATCAAGTTTTAGAATATTATTTGAAGGGATTAAAAATTAAGATTGTTAAAAGTAAAAGGAAGGAATATAAAGTTGGTTTATTTGATCAAGGTTAAATTGGATAGTGTATATTATTTCTCTAGTGGATTTTTACTGATCATGAATGAACAATAAGATTTACTTTAAGAAAAGCTGATACATTGCTAAAATTGTTTACATTGATGTAATGAAGTCATTTCTTTATGTATTTCTTTCTTTACTATAATCTTTTTTCTTTCTTCTCTCTTTTTCTTTTGTGCAGTTTTATTTTTTGTTTTATTCTTTTTGTTTGAATTCATTGTTATGCTTTCAATCATAATGTTTAATAAAATTTATATTAAAAAAATGATTACAAAACACTAGGTTGCAACCACTCAATATCCTAGCCATAGCCTAAATGTAATTTTTTTCTAGTCAGGAGACCATAAACACAGGCAAAAAGAAGGATCTTTGTAAATATGTCCACGATTTATGTAAAATGTGTATTTAATGTATTCTTTAATAGAATTCTTCAGGAGCAATAATTGGCCCATGGCCAGAATTCTCATTCTTTATCCTAAAGTTATTTTCAACTTAAATTTGACTCCTGATGCTTTATGGACTTGTCCATGTAGTTTTCTTGATAATAATATAGAATTAAATTCCCACTGCTCTCTTCTGATATCTATTGCAATTCTGTAGCCTATGGCTTAACAATCCTTGGAGAACACTCATTATAATAGTTTTTGAACCTAACTGCTGAACCCTTTCCCTTAAAGTTTTAAAATACAAAGCTGTTCACATTGCAACCGTCATAAATGTGAATCAGTTGTCCAAATACCCGAATTTTGAATTTTGATGAAGGGGCTGCTATAATGGTCATAAACTGTGCAAAATTGTCATAAGTTTCTTTTTTTGTGTGTGCCTTTGTAACTTTGAATGGTCACTAAATGAACTGTTGTAAGTCAAGGACCACATATCCTTAGGCAGAATAAAAGAGTAACCTTTTCTGAGTGAAAGAATGCCAGGTGGTTGCCCAATTTTTTGCTGAACAGTCACAGGCAGGGCTAGGATACAGTTCACACTCAGCTCACACCCACACCAGTGTCGGCATGAACTTGCGAGGAAAGATAAGAATAAACTCCACCTCCTCCCATCCCCTATCAGCCATCTTGATCAAGATGTTGCAATTTTGCCTGGAGGGATCAGTGGACGGAAAGAAGGAACATCCCCACTTCAATTCAGTCTGGCTCATTCTTCATGCTTTGAGCCTCCTCAGTTCTAGTGCTCAAGTGAAATCTACTAAATGTACCGAGGTGTTTATTTCTTTAAAAACTAAATATGGTGATTCAAAACCTATTTTAGTGTAAGTCTGTTTTTGGAAAAAAAATATCATTCAAAACCTGAACGGCCTTTTCTTTTTTCTGTAGAACCATACAAATATCTCTAAGTCTCAGGATGATTCTATATTTCCTTTCCTTGTCCTCCGCTTTTCTGCTTTCCTTTCCATAGTATATGCCTTGCTAAATTCTGGTGCTTATTCCTTTTTTGGTCTTATGTTCTCTCCCTTGTGTGCTGGAGGAAATGATAAGTCTTTTGGAGAGACATTTTTTTTGTTTCCAGCCAGCTTTTTGGAATGGTGACTAAGCACTGCCCTATACAGGTTTAGGGAATTTTGCCTGCAGAAAAAGCAAAATTTCCTGGCAGTTTTTCAGAGGTTAATAGGATGCAGCAAGTCAGTACAGTTTATTAAAGGCTGCCAAAAAAAGGGGGGTGGGGGGAGTTACAACATGCTTATGATCCCTTTTTAGAGAGTTTTGCCTTTCTAACTAGAGCCACAGAGAGACATGTGATGATGCAGATAGAATTTTGCATTTGAATATCTTTCAGCCAATTCTAGGTTTCACTTTTTTATGGTTTTATACCTGCAGAATTGGCCATTTTTATTCTCAAAATCAAATTTGGTTTTAATCAAACTAATGTGTTTTAATTAAATTAATATGGCATGTCTAATAAAGTGATCTTTAGAAACTATATTAACTTTAGCATACCACAAACAATTCTACCACCGAAACTTCAAATTGTCTCTTTCTAACTCCAATAATCTTCTAGTTCTCAGCATCACCCAATCTCTCATATAGATTAAACAACAAACTGCAAAATATATTTTTAAATCAGATATAGCCAAATCTCCTGTCTCATTAGCATCTTTAACATCTTAAATTTAACTCACTCTTTTAACACTTCCACATATTTTTTTCTTTCTGCCATTATTTAAATGGTACATTAATTGTCAAAACAGATATTGTCTGAAACAAACATTCTAGGCAGAATATTCATTTAATCACAGAAAATCTTCCCAATAATGACAATTCTAATTTTCCTTTTCTTAATGTAACTTTTTTAACTTCATTTCATATTCTAACATAATTATTTGGAACAACATATAATTTATAATTGTCAAATTAATACCCAAACATTTTACTTTTTCTCAGTCTTAAAAACTGTTTTGTTCATCAATTCTGCTAGATCTTCATATTTTTATTAGCATATTCTGTTTATTAATTTTAAAACCACCTAATGCAACAAATTATTTTAATTTTCTTATTAATAATTTAATCCCTTTAAAGTATTTTCCAAAACCAGCATTAAATCATCTGTAAAAATTCTCAACTTGCATTTTTTTAAATTTTTACATCCATTTTCCTATGCTCTTTCATTGTGCCTTATATTTCCATTTAAAACTTCAAAAATCAAAATAAACAGAAAAGGAAATAATGAATAACCTTGTCTGGTTCTTCTCTCACAAGGTTTTGTTAGATCTTTATTAGTAATTATTTGTGCTTTCTGTGAGGTATAAATGGATTTAATCCATTTTATAAAATTGTCTCCAAATCCATGTCTTCCAAAACTTAGTTGGAACAAATATCCATCTGGCACTTGAACTTCCTATTCCTGTGCAAGAACATGTATTCTATTGGCTGTTGTCAGACTCCCATGGGCCCATGTACAAATCCTAGGAGTTTGTCTGAGCTAGGTTTGGTTGAAGTTTCTGAAGGTGATGCAATGAAGGGGCACTGGGCAATTCCTATTGTTGCTGAGAGATAATCCTATCTTTGTTGGATCGGGTGAGGGTATTTGCTTATGTCTCTTTATCTCTTAAGTGCTGACATCTGCTGAGAGCTATTAAGAAATATAACATTCTGCCTTTTTATTATTTCCTAAAGTATTTCATTCTTGCAAGAGAGAGGTAGTTGCTAACTTTCTGCAACTTTAAATAAAAAAGTCCAATTTAAATTGTCAAAATCTTTCATTGCATCTACAAAAATTAATGCAGCTTGTTTTTCATTATGCTGTTCCAAGTGTTCTATAATGTTCATCACCTTTCTGACATTATTTTTAACTGTCTTTTAGGTAAAAAAAATACACATTGATCTTCACTAATACATTCTTCAAAATTAATTTGTATGCCTATGTGCTTTTTATCTCACAATTCAAGGCAATTCACAGCAATTAAGAGCAATCTAAAACTCATGAGTTCTGAATGGAGCGGTAGCGGTATCTTTATTGTTACTGCATCAAGTACCTCCAACCAAGAGTTACACCTTCAGGGTCCCATGGCAGCTGGTGAAGCCAGGTTTTAAGGCTTTTCCTGAAGGTCAGAAGAAAAGAGGTAGCTCTCACTTCCAGTGGCAAGATATTCCAAAGGACAGAGGCCAAGGCAGAAAAGGCTTTTCTCCTAGACTCCAGCAGCCAAAATTCCTTGGCTTGTGAAACCTGCAATAGGCTTCTTCTGCCAGATTGAGTGGGGCAGGCCGATCCTATTGGGAGAAGTTGGTTCCTCATATATCCTGCACCCATGCTATACAGGGCTTTAAATTCAACACTTTGAATTGAACCAGGAAGCTGACAGATTTAATTTAATTTAATTTAAGCAATAACTTTATTAGATTGGACTTTGAGAAGTTCTCAGTTCCAAAAACTTATTGTTCTTTCTGTTCTCCCTCCAACAGTTTATGCCAAAACCTTTCTCTCGCTGTGACTTCACTGAAAATCTTCTTCAGAATGGCTGCCCAAAAAAGTATATAGAGGATCCAGCCAGCCAGACCTTCATACTGGAGGACAGACCTCTCAGTGCCAAAGGATCAGGGAGTGACATTACCCAAATGACTCCACAGAAGATTGAACTCCACCTGCGTCCAGGTAAAACCAGATGCAATACTTGTTTTACCCACAGAAAGTCTTGGGTTCATTCCTCACCATCTCTAGAGAAAAAGTAAGAAATAGAAAAGAAAGCATCTATGTAAGAGTTTGAAGAACTGCTTCACTTGAACTGATAATACTGCAAACATGGTCCAATAGTCTGAGACAATATGACGATAGCTTGATAGTTTCAAAGCTATCCTATGATAGCTTCAGAGCTACATTGACTTGACTATTAGCTGTCTATTCAGAATGGACATATTACCTTACGGCAATGATAGTCAACTTTTGAGATCGTGTGGGCATACTGGGAATCTGAGGACAAACTGCAGCTGCTGTTCACAAAATGGCCACCATACTGGGTATGTCCAATCTTTCAACCTTCATTTACTAGAAATGCCTACTACCCTTTAGCTTTTGGGGTAAAAACAGGTTTAAACAAGCCTGTGGTGGTGGTTGTTGTTGTTGTTGTTGAGAATGTGGGCACATTTCCTGGCAAAGCATTTGGCAGCAGCCACCCATTATTTTTATTTTTCATGAATATAAGGCCTATCTGGTGCATAGAACCATTCTTGGAAATAAATATTGCTGCCTTGTCTTGTTATATGTCTTTTTTATTATTTGTAATTATATACTTGAATATTGTAAGCCACCTAAAATCAGCTGGAGTGAATGGCTATAATAAGAAACAATAATATGAATTTGTACTGTTTCATATCAATTTATCACTTGCTGATTTTTATTAATATGTAAAGATGTTGGCTGAAGCAAGCAATCTTGCAGTGGCCAAAAGAGATGTCTGCAGATGTGTTTGTGGGTCATCACATTATTCTGCTGTGATTTGGAATATTGATCCTGTATGGCCAGAAATATCAATCAGGGGAAAAAGAACGGTGCATGTTTGAGTTAGTTTACAATAGCATGAGTCTGTAACAATGTAACTTAGAAAAATTTGGAAAGAGTAGACTAGGTTGAAATCTTTGAAAAAACATTCAGTCTTTATCTAATTTTGCTATTTCAGATGACTCCCAAACTTTCTCAATACAAGTACGCCAGGTGGAAGATTATCCTGTGGACATTTACTATCTAATGGATTTGTCTAACTCCATGAAAGATGACCTCCATAATATCCAGAACTTAGGCACCAAACTTGCCATGGAAATGCGCAAAGTGACAAGCAACCTGAGGATTGGCTTTGGAGCTTTTGTGGACAAACCCCTGTCCCCTTACATGTACATTTCCCCTCCAGAGGCCATTAAAAACCCATGCTATGAGTAAGTTCTCTAGTCAGAAGAAATATCTTTGTTAAACAAGCCTGAGTTCCCCAACTGCAACTGAGGTAGCTCCCATCATCTTCTGCCAACTTGGTCAAAAATCAGAAAGGAAGGGTGTTACAGCCTAGAAGCATCTCGAACACTTCAGATCTCCTAACTCTAATGCTAAAATTTATAATCTGTAGTTCTAAAGATTGCTAAATATGTATTCCTATTTCCTCTTTATCTTAAAAATGTGCAGACAGAATGAAATATTTATTTCTTAATATCGGGTAAAATCTGGGGAATTTCATGAATTTTATTTTATGTAAAATAAAATAATAAATTTTATCCATTGGTATAGCTGCCCATTTTAACAAGTAACTCCAGTAACTCCAGGCAGCAAATAAATAAATAATAAATAAATAATAAATAAAGCCACAAATCCAAAATTAAAACGCCATAGCAATCAAGGAAAACATCATAGTTTACACCATGAATACAACTAGGAGATGGATTCCTTCACACACTTGGGAATCTAGATCCAGACACAGAACCAGATCTTCAGAATCTTATGAAAACCCAGGAAGGTTTGGGCCTTCTTGTTTCCTGTCTGAGGAGGTTTCATAGGGTAGGCATTATAACAGAAAAGGACATCTTCTGGACTCTGTCAACCAACATTCCTTAGCTGATGGGATCCAAAGCATGCTCATCCTGCCAGACTGGATCAGACAGACAGAAACAACCAGTGTGAGATAATCCCTCAAGAAACTCAGTCTCAAACATTGAAGGGCTGTAAAGGTGTCAACCAGCCCCTTTAGTTATATCTGGAACCACACTGATTCACCTAGTAGTGGTGTTATATAGATGAAGTAACTCTAGGAGTAAGTAGTAGCTGAGTTCCTACTTAGCTATTTCAATTACTTATTTTTTACTCTCACAGGAATAAACAGCTAATGAGGGCACTACCAAACTTCCATGTGTTTGGGAACTACTGTGACAGAGGGAAGTGTTGGGTTAAGGACTCTTTTAATTGAGTTTAGAAGAAATTGATTGGGTTGTTTAGCTGGGAGGGTGTGTAATTTGAAGCCAGTGTCTGTGCTAAATTCTGTGGACTTCTTTGGCTTTTCAGTTTCCTGTTTCCTTTTCTAAGCTTTATATCCTATGTTTTAGCTTGAAACCACCAGATGATCACTGCCTGCCAATGTTTGGCTACAAGCATGTCCTAGCTCTCACAGATGAAGTCAAGCGCTTCAATGAGGAGGTAAAGAAGCAAAGCGTGTCTAAGAATCGAGATGCACCTGAAGGAGGATTTGATGCCATCATCCAAGCAGTTGTCTGTGATGTAAGAGGCAATCTCTATTATCGGGGATTGAGAGTTTCTCAACAAATCAGTGCCAATTAAGTGGGCAAAGATGTATGGGTTGGATTCCCCTTTGGCGACCAGACATATTTTGTCTCCTAAACATCAGTCAACTCTATGTTTTCAGAAATCAACGATACTTAAATTGTCATATATAGTAATTAAAAGGATAGAAGGAGCATCCCGAATCCCAAGAATCAATTAGCCTGCCTGCCTTTAAAGTTTTTTCCCCTCTCAAATATGGGAGTGGGTAACTCCCAGATTTGAAACTCCCATCTCAAATATGGGAGTTTTTTTTTTCCTTTCTTTTTTTCCTCCCACTATTTATATGTATCTATGTTGCTATTTTGCATTGTAACTTTTTACGTTTTGTTTTATTATATGATTGTTACTGATTTTTACTATTGAATTTATTTATTTTTTAAAAGGACATGACTCAGCCCTATACACCACTTTTTCCCCTCCCATTCATATTTCAGCCTCAAAGGGTTAACTAATTTCCTGGGACTGGTGCTGTGAATATCTTTGAGGACTGCTTTATGAGGTTTTGTTTTTGTTGTGAACATATCATGGAGATTATTTTCTTACAGGACAAAATTGGCTGGAGACCTGATGCTTCCCACTTGTTGGTCTTCACCACAGATGCCAAGACACACATTGCTTTAGATGGAAGACTGGCTGGGATTGTAATACCCAATGATGGGGAGTGCCACATGAACAGCAATAACTATTATGAAGCTTCCACCACACTGGTGAGGGTATTTCATTTCATAGCCACAGGACTGGAATTAATATAGCTACAAAAATGGTTCCATTACAGCGGATGATACACTTGGCTAGAATTTCATAAACTTTAAGTTTACTCCCGCTATGCTATCTAAGTTAAAAGTTAGTTTAGCCTTCCCTATCCCGGTGTCCTCCAGATAAACTAGACTACAAGTGCTGGAATTTTCAGTCACTGAGGCTATCTGCATACTAATCATTAGCACTATGAACAATAATGTGACTCCGTGTTTGTCCATATGCTTATTCCTGATTTAAAAAATGGGGCTTTTGCCATTTTGATTTAACTTTCAGCTGAACTATCTTAATTTTTAGATAGAGCCATCTTATTGATGAGCGAGGCAGCATATTAAATAAACAAACAAATTTTCTTACTCAGTAAAGGCATTGCTGTTCCTCCTTCTTTAGCTACAAATTACTTGCTCCTTTAGCTCTTTTTCCCCCCCTCCCAGTGATGATAAAGAAAAGTTGGCCTTAGAGTGTTTTGGGCTTTCAGAATGACAACAGCATTACTGAAGGACAGGAAGATGAAAAGAAGGATGTCTTAGGTAGTCAGTGGGACTTCATAATCTGAAAGAGAATGATATATAGCCAGGGGTCTCCAACCTTGGCCACTTTCAGACTTGTGGACTTCAACTCCCAGAATTCCTCAGCCAGCAAAGCTGGCTGGGGAATTCTGGGAGTTGAAGTCCACAGGTCTTAAAGTAGCCAAGGTTGGAGACCCCTGAATATACATTCTAGAATCTTCCCACTGCTTTTGGCCTTCTAAGATTCTCTGTACCAATAATGGAGAATATTTATAGCTTGGGGTTGAAATGAGGGGTCTTTGGTGCTACTGGGCTTCGTTGTTGTCTTGTAAACGTTTCATTACCCAAACTGGGAAACATCATCAGTGCTGGTAAAGAGTGGGGTTTGCTCTGTTTATATTCTAGTGGCTTGCCCTGACAGAACAAAAGCCATTAGTATAAAATGTAAACTGAGAGCAAACCCCACTGCTTACTATCACCGATGATGTTACCTAATTTGGGTAATGAAATGTCTATAAGAAAACAACCAAGCTCAGAGAAGCACCAAAGACCCCTAGATGCTGGCTCAGTGGTGGCCAAGGTTCTCAGCAAATTCTGAACAATGTTAGAGTCTGAACCTTTTTTGTGGAGGGTATATTGTGTACAGAGATACACTGCACCCTCAGTGATAATCCAATTACCAGTGATCTGGTAATTGAGACCAGATCATTCATTGTCCCATGAAGAATGCAGACTTTGCCCTAACTTTAACAATGTTCTCAAGAGCAGTAATTTCCCGTCTAGAATAAATCACATTTTTACACTAATTAGGGAGAAAGTTAAGGTGGTGTGCTTAAAATCTATGCTGGATGTAAAATCTATGCTGGTGGCTCTGCAACCTCTTCATTACTATAGTGCCACCCTAGATTGTCTGTCTTGCTCACAATAAAAGGCGACTGTAGATTGGAAAGAGGTCTTGAGAACTGGCCTTTTCATAGATAACATTTATACTGCAAATATCTTGAACATTTGAAAGAAAGGTGAGATATCAATGTTTTAATTAGGTACAGTACATAAAATAACTAGTAAGTGGCATATTTCTAGGTTCAATCAATTCCAAGCTAAGATTTGCAAGCAGATTACTCATTTGCCTCTCTTGATTTTTCTTCCCAAGGATTACCCATCCCTTGGCCTACTGACAGATAAACTCTCACAGAAAAACATTAATTTGATTTTTGCAGTGACTCAGAACATAGTTGGTCTTTACCAGGTAAGAAAAAACATTATGGTTAGGGGATATTGTGGGATGGAAAGTCGAAGAAATAGGAAGAGGTTGGTGCTATCTCCCTTTTAAAAGTTTTTTAAAAATCAGTCTGACATAGAAAAACTGTATCCCAATTTTCTTCGCCTGTATTTGTCCATTTAAGGGAATTCTCTGCTGTTTTCTTTTCAGAACTACAGCGAGCTGCTCCCAGGCACTACTGTAGGGACCTTATCAAAAGACTCAAGTAATGTTTTACAGCTCATTTTGGATTCCTATGGGGTGAGTCCATGAATAGGAATGTCTAAAAGTTTCACTGGGTTATTGTCAGGATTTGTCTGATACTAGATGCAAAAAAGGTAACTTCTGTAGATACCTAAATATCAAACTGATGGGGGTGGTAATGTAACCGAAACCTTGCTTATTTAATGAGTATAGTAATTGTGACATGCATAAAAAAGAATGTAACTTTGATCACATGGTCACAGATACCATCTTGACTTTTTTGACTTCACTCAAAGATGTTCTTAGCCATAAATAGATGTTTAAAGCAACAGCTTGTGCTTCCCAGCCCTCTGCTTCACTAACATTTGTCACCTCTCAAAGATATAACACAGAGCCTTCTAATTTAGGGGATGAATACAAATAAGGGGTTAATTTCTAAAGAACTCTAGTAATTTTATTTGGAATTTAATCATTTTTTTAAAAAAAAGAAAAGCCAGATAAAATAATTGATAAATCACTGCACTTGAGGGTTTGGGTTTTTTTTTTTTTTGCATTGTCCGCCCCCCCCCCCCCCCATGCATTTTCTGTCCCTGTGTTGTGGCTTTCTTAAATTTATTTGCTAAAATAATATTATGTTATATTATGTTATGATATGAACAATAAAGTTCTGTTGGATTGTTTTCCTTCAGCTTAAAACTTCTGGCATTGCCTTCTTTTGAATATGGCAGCAGTATGGATATATATTTATGTAGGCAGATCTGAATCTAAATAATAAATGTAGATAGCATAAAACCCCAGTTTCACATTAAAACGTTCATAGCAAAGTTGTCCTTTGCATTTCTTATCTTTTCTATTAGCACTGAATCCATCTCCTGTTTGGAGGGTGTCTTTGAATCCACTTGGACCCCTGGCATATCTATGCAGTTTTTTTGGCAAGATTTCAGAAGTGGTTTGCCATTGCCTTTTTCCTAGGTTGAGAGAGAGTGTGTGTGTATGTGAGACTGGTACAAGATCACCAGCTGGCTTTGTGCCTACGGCAGGACTAGAACTCAACCTTTCCCAAAGTTCCAGCTGATGCCTTAACCACTACATCAAACTGGCTTTTTTGTTTTATGCTGACTGAATCACTTAACAGTTCCTTTTAATAATTAAGATTCCTATCCTGCAGCAGATGGATACTTACAGAAATCTACATTAGGAACTTTATGGCTGAACAATCCAATCCTTGATTTCATAAGAACATAGAACTGGAAGGAGCCATTTATGTAATGAATCCAATCCCTGCTTAGTACAGGAATTCAAAGCATCCTGAGCAGATAACTAGCAGTCTATTTCAACATCTCTAGTAAAGAGAAATCCAGCAGTCTTTGGATAATTGGTTCCATGCTGAACTATTTTTATTGATAGAAAGATTTTCCTTACATTCAGATATAATCTGCACCCCAGTAATATAAATCTATTATTCATTGTTCTATACTCTGAGCAGATTTTTCAACATTCTTCTTTGAAATCATTTAAGGCCTTTGAAGAGCTTGATCATATATCTCCTCAGCCTTCTCTTCTCAAGGTTATACATCTCAATTTACTTCCATCTCTTTTCATAAGATAGTTCTTAGACCCCTGACAATAATACCTCAGTGCTTTTCACTTCATCCATTCTAGTTTGTCCGAATATAAGGCTCTACTATTAGCCACGATGGCCACAAAATGATAAAATATGCATCATGATACTGTTGACCAAAGAGGCAACAATGTGATTGTGTCAGTCATGTTATTCTCTCTGACTGCAAATAGGTGTCACGTCATTTGCATTATAAGATGGTACACATGTCATTTGGTTTTCCTTGCCCCATATGCTACCTATTCATCCTCCTGGTCTCAATCTCTCTCCATCTACTCAGAATGGAACGTTGTATTAAAGGTCTGATTGTCATAGGTTAAGGGAAAGCTATTGTCTCTTGTGATTTAGAAATACTCCTTCTGCTAATGTAGCCTTAAACTGCAGTTGCCTTTTTTTTTTTTTTTTTGCAGCAACGTTACACTGCTGACACATTTTCAGTTTATAAACAACTTCTATTCCAAGATGTTTTTCACTGAACCAAAATAGTAGTTGAGTAGCTCTGCCTTTTCTTTGCTATTTGTTAGCATTTTGCCATCTTTACAGAACAGCTGTTGCACTAATTCTTTTCTTGTGAGTATATTGAAGAAGCTCCTTTTGTTATTCTTAGCATCCTTTGCCAACATCCTGCTGAGCTTTAATCACCCCAAGTCCATGTCTACAGTTCTGGGCTACTTAGATGCCCCTCTTGTTTTCCATTATTTATCATACCAGGCTTTTTCTACTGTCCCCAATATGTTTCTCACTGGAATTGTTACTGCCTTATTTTAGAAAGTCCCATCCATATTTAATTGCTTTTCCCATTAGTTTCCCCTGCCATGGAATGGAATTTTTTTTTGCTTAGACTTAAATGCAATTGAACTACTCTTCCCAGTTGATCTAGATCAACTCTAAGTAATTTAGGTAGATTGAAGGAAATGCTGGAAGCATGATTAACTTTAAAAAAAATGAGCCTGACAATTTTAAATTGGGAAGACTAGCTGGGTTTTTGGATGAGGTGCCACTCCACAACCGGATGGAGGCTGATTTTATCTTTTCTGTCCTTCCTCAGAAAATCCGTTCCAAGGTTGAACTAGAAGTCCGTAATCTCCCAGAAGAATTATCCCTCTCATTTAATGCCACCTGCCTTGATAATGAAGTCATTCCTGGAGCTAAGTCTTGTGTTGGACTCAAGATCGGCGATACAGTGAGTTATGGGTGCACCATGTTAAGGCAAAAATAATTGTAGAGAGTTCCAATTAAAGCGACAATTAAGATGGTGATTTTCCATCATTTTTAAGAGAAATGTCATACTCTATTTCCAGTACTGTAAACATGCTATAGGGTTAAATATTAACCCCACAAGAGCTCTGAGAACATTTATTGTAAGCTTTGCTCCAAGGTATTTAAAGCAACATTTCCTGAATAGAATATACATCTTTCCATTATCAAGCTGGGTTTTTGCCTCTATTTCCTGAGTCACCAGTCTGGAAATGACCACCTGATATCAGTCCTATTTTAGCAAATGTATTCTTGAAAAGAGGTCCATCAGTGTTTTTAAAAGCTCAGCTATGATGAAGAAGAATTAATTTTAATTAAATTTAGAAACATAAATTCCTGCAATAGATAGGCAGATTTTGTGGTCAAAAAGCTGTTCCTTTTCTGCATTGTAGCAAAAAAAAAAAAAAATCAACACAAAATTTATGTTTTTTAGTATCTGCATCCAGGGAGCAAATGTGTCACTATAATGTATTGCTATAACAAGAAGCACCATTTCAGCCCTTGCAATCAAACAAAACAGCCAACCACAAGGAAGAAGCAAAAAATAGACATAAGTGCCAAGGAATCATGGGTCAAAAAGACCTCAATTATAGGACAGTACATTTTTTATTACAACAAATTCAATAAACTTGCTTCCTTCTTTCTTTATGAACAACCTGTTTGTAAAGAACCAATAACACTTTGACATTTCCAAAGTTTTTCAAGAAGTCACACAAGCTCCTCTTAAACTCAAAGATTTGAGAGGAGCACAATTAGATCCACAATATATTTATTTCTGGAAAACTTGTACACAAAACAGATTTCGAATCTGGGCAGTTCAAAACATACTTTGAATATTTGTTTGTGAGAGATCATCCTCACATGTTCCTAGTTGCAATACAAAATTCAGGCTTAGGAACAGGTGGGATTCAAATTTTTTAACAACCGGTTCTGTGGGTGTGGCTTAGTTGGTGGGCATGGCTTGGTGGTCATGTGACTGGCTGGGTGGGGCCAACTGAACATCATTCACATCAAGGCATGCATCTCCTCGCCTGGTGTCTCATGACTGTGGGGATGCTGCAACAGTCATAAGTGTGAAAAATGGTCATAAGTCACTTTGTTCAGTGCCATTGTAACCTTGAATGGTCACTCCACACAAGCAAAGTACCAGCAAAGGAGGGGGAGAAAAAATCCAGAGATGTTCCTGAGACAGGAAGTCTAGTCCTGCTAAGAACGTAATAAGGGTTAACGGAGAGGCAGTTTCTGTAAGCAACATCAGAATGTTTCCTTCCTGCCTTCCTTATAGGATTAGGCCAGTAATTTCGTCTAACAACCAGTTCTCTGAATTGCTTAGAATGTTAACAACCGGTTCTAGCGAATAGGTGCGAACTGGTAGAATCCCACCCCTGCTTAGGAACCATTTTTATGTAATGCTTTTTTGAGACATTGCATCTCCTCTCCCTCACATTCAAGGCAGCTTAAAGTGATATGTAGCTATTTTAGTTTTAAAGAAACTTCTCTCTTCTCCTGACACAATTATTATTGGAGAGAGAATGTAGGATGTTTCATTGACAATGAGGCTAGGAATGCACCAATGGCTATCTGTGATCACCCTAGCTCCTGTTGGCTATTTTAGGCTGCCTTCTATGCACTAGTACTGTCCCCATGGCCATTTTGGTATTGACAGCCAAATAATCTATTTCCAGAAAGATTCTTGTCTGTAATGGTCAAAGCTAAAATGAATAAGCATTTGTTATTTGAATGAGCTATATGAACCTTAAATTCCTAGGCACGTTCTCTCCTCTTCGCAGGGTGAATGCACGTTTTAAGAATCCAACCGCTTCCTATTGGAGAGGTTGAATTATATTAGAGAAAAGACATTCATTTGTGTCAGTAGCATCTTAGTCTGTCCTTTAGCCTATGGCTTTTTGCCTGGCAGAACTGTGAGACACAAAGTGAAAGAAAAAGATTGCTGTGTGAATAGTGAAGAGAAAATACTTTTCTGCAAATTCAGAAATTCTGTATATTGTCTCTGTCTGAACCATGCTTGGCAAGGATGGCAGTAGAAGAAAGTGGCTATAGTAGAAGAAAAGCCAAGATTTCATATTACACAGCACACATAATATAGATTGTGACAATCATGGCTAGAAGGAGGACCTTCTCTCAGTCATTCATACCCTGGTCATTTCCCACATGGACTACTGCAAGGCATTCTACATGGGACCGATACTTGAACAGTATCTGGAAGATGGAACTGGTGCAGCATATGCCACAACTAGCAATTTTACACATTCTGAAGGTGGTACATATAATATCTCTGCTGTATGTGCCACAGATGCCAGTTTGGTTCCGGGTCCAATTAAAAATATTGAATTTAAAGCCCTTCATGGCATGGGACCAGATTATTTGAGAAACTGTTACATTGATCCATCCCACCCAGTCAGGCAGGGAAGGTTTGTATGGGCAGTGCTAATTAAAGAATCTCAATTGGCAACAACTAAGAAGAAGGCCTTCTCTGCTGCTGCCCCTGCCCTCTGGAACATAATTCCTCTCAATGTGAAATCTACCCACACCTCCTGGCCTTCTGAAAAGGCCTTAAAACCTGGCTCTGCTGATTGGACCTCCGATGTGGGTGTTGCATACTGGAGATCGCTAGTGGATTAAGAAGATGTATTTATTTATTATGAGATTAGGATTGATCTCTACCCCATTGTATTCTGGTTCCTACCTTAGGTAATTTTTGTTAAATTGAATTTTAATATTTAATGTTTTATCACATTGTAAACTACCCAGAATTGCTTGATAATGAGATATACCTTTCATTAATTCATATCTTGCTCCCAGAAATGAGGTTGCCTCCCGCTTCCCTTTTGGAAGAATGTGACGATCTTGGCTCTGTCAATCAATCCAAGAACTAAATAATAGCAGGCAAATTAGGGGTTGGTTGCTGGCCTGAGGATGCTCCCTTCACCTTTTAACTTAGTTAAACTTAACTTTTTAAACTCTGTTTTTATTTTGTTCTTTACTTGGTATTAATTTTGCTTTTAATTATGTCACTTTGAATTGGTTTTATGGTTTGTATTTGTAAACAACCCAGAGTCACTTGGATAGTGAGATGGGTGGTGTCTAAATTTGATAATGAAATTATAAAATAAAATAAATCAATGGTTACGATAGGAATAGAAATACTTCATGTAAGTAAGTAATACTTACCTTTTTTTGTTGTTGTTTAAGTTTTTTGCTGTCCACTACACAATCCCAGCCCAGCTTATTTATGACCTTGGAGATCAACTTAGGAAAAAAGAAATAAAAAAGAAGTTGAAAATGATTTGAGGAAGGGATGTGGAGTTGAACAACAATTGAACATTTTTCTTCCATCCACAATTTTTCCTCCTGAAATTAATGAGTATATCTTCCTCTTTTTATTAGCAATAGGTTAATTAAATATATGAAGATATCCATATAGCCTTCTTTGCAATCATGTGGAATTGGTTTCTCAAGGTTTCATTGCTGTTTCTGAACTTTACTGTACAGCCTGCAGCCCTAAATTTCTTAGTGGTCTCTCATTAAAATACTTGCAGGTTTAACCCTGCACAGATAATCCAAGCTGATATGTTCTATTGCCTGCTGCAGGTGCATTAGCATTACAAAGAAACTATATCCCTGGGCTGATTTTGCAACCAGTAACTCTGCCCAAACAATTATACGCTATTCTGGTTGATTTTTCTCTCTCTTTCTCCATATGTACATCTAAACTAAATCTGATGTATTTAGGATATTTCCTTAACCTGAGTAATTCTTCCTCTTAAACCTCTCCCAAGGTGAGCTTCAGCGTTGAAGCGAAGGTCCGTGGTTGCCCAAAGGACCGGCAGACCTCTTTCACCATTAAGCCAGTCGGCTTTGAAGACAGCCTGACGGTTCTGTTGAAGTTTAACTGTGACTGTGCTTGCCAGGCGGATGCTGAACCTTACAGCAATAAATGTAACAATGGGAATGGCACCTTTGAATGTGGGATATGCCATTGCCACCCGGGCCGGCTGGGTTCCCAATGCGAGTGCTCTGAGGAAGAATATGGCCCATCCCAGCAGGACAATTGCAGCCCCACTCAGGGGCAACCACTTTGCAACCAGCGGGGAGAATGCCTCTGCGGCCAATGTGTTTGCTACAGCAGTGATTTTGGCAAGATATCAGGCAAATACTGTGAATGTGATGACTTCTCTTGTGTTCGCTTCAAAGGGGAACTATGCTCAGGTGAGTGGCATCAGCCTGAAAGAGTGGGATGGGCTTCTAAGAGCTGTAGATACCTGCAAAGAAGAATGATTATTCCCAGAGAGTCTCCTTTCTGTCTTAAAAAATGCTACAATGTTTAAATCCAATTCTAGTATAACAGTACAGGTAGTCCTCCAGTCCAAAATTTCTGTTGTTAAGTGAGACATTTTTTAAGTGAGTTTTGCCTCGTTTTATGACCTTTCTTGCTATACTTGTTAAGTGAATCCCTGCAGTTGGTAAGTTAGCAACCCAATTGCCAAGTGAATCTGGCTTCCCTACTGACTTGCTTGTCAGAAGGTCGCAAAAGGAGATCACATGTCCTTGGCATACAGCAACAGTCATGGATATGGACCAGTTGCTAAGCATCTGAATTTTGACCACATGATCATGGTGATGCTGCAATGGTCATAACTGTGAAAAACAGTCATAAGTCATGAGTTTTTCAGTGATGTTGTAACTTCAAACAATCACTAAACTAAGTCGAGGATTACCTGTATAATCTTTAAATATTACAATTTATATTTAAAGGTAAGATAAGATAAACAGAAAAAAGGCAAAGAGCAAAGAAAGAAAAAATATCATGATTTCCATCCTTCTTTCTATTGAATTGTTTCCTCTCCCTCTTTATATCTCTCTTCGCAGACAGGCAGGCAGCCTTATAAAATTATTTTGATTAGAAACTGATACTGAAAAAAAATCACGCATGTGTTTATACCGTGGGAAGCTGCAGTGTTCTCAAAACACACCTGTAAAAATGCAAATTCTTTAGAAAACACTTCATAATGAATAATTATAAATAGGATCGGAAACATCTGCAAGGATGTCAAAAGAAGTGCAAATAACAAAAACCAAGTTGCTCTATCACAATGCACTCTTTCCTACGTACATCATGGCATTGCACACATGTATGTAGGGATAAGGAATGTTTAGTATTTGGTACACCTTTTCAATACATAGGCCTTTACATTTTTATTAAGGAACAGCAGTGTCTCATGGCATCCTCAGCAGCTCGCATAGCCAATTCATAACAACTGCTAAGAGGGATAATTCAGCAACATTTGGAGAACTAAAGTGTCTCATTTCTGGGTATATTTCAGGTGTTTTATGGCATAATCACATGTGGTTTGAAAAATAATAGAAGGAGCTATCTTTTTATTTCTCTATTTATGTCTAGGCTGTGAGCAAGCACAGGAGTGTAAATATATCACAGATTATTCATTCTCCTTCTGGCTAAAGAATAACTCAGATATTAAATTATCATTTGGATTGTAAACATACAGATGCGAAGTTATTTATGTTTGCCAGAGCAAGTTGGAATAACTATAAATACATATAATTTGTCAAACTTGTGCTTTACTAAAATTGTTTGAGAAAGAACTGAAAAATCTGTTCCTTAAGAAAGAATTAAATCACAAGCTTGATATAGTAGGAGTTAGCAAAAAGTGTTTGTGTTTGTATGCCTCTAAAAGCAAGCTAAAACTTGCTGCTTAAGAAGAAAAAATAACAGTTAAACACTGTTTCCTACAATATAACCATTAGCTTGGTGATCCAGATAGGACTCAATTTGCTTTCATGAAAGAGGAGGAAAGTGTTAGAAGCAGCTATCTGTTTGGAACTCATGACTGTTCGTGTGTGTGTGTGACTCAGTGTTAAAGGAAACAATTGCTGTGATTTGATTATGAGAAGTGGATGAATTGCACAGTACATGCTTATGTCTAGAACAACAACTCATTCTATTCCATGGAAGTTTCTGTATGTGTTGTAAAATACAACTATTGTGCAATGTAGGATGACAGGATGTCCCTCAACTATTGCTAAAGCAGGCTGGCCAGGTACACATCACACAACTTAATGATGTGTTTTTTCCCCAGAAACTTATTGCACTATTATGTTCTGCTAAGTCTGCTCAGTGGCTACCAGAACAGTTAGAATTGATCTGGGCTGCAAAGTCTCATTTGGGCCTAATTTCCCATTTGAGGAGGACAGCCATGGCTTCTTCTGCTTAATAATAAAGAGCCAAGGCACAGTTTTGTACACAGTAACCTCAAGATTGCAACTTGGTACTACAAAGGGAAGGAAGGTGCTTGCTTTTCTCAAAGAACCCTTTGTGCAACCATTTCTAACTTGCTCTGAGAAAGATATTAAAGGGCACACTAGTTGTCTTAGAAATATGGATAAAAATGAATGTGGAGTTCTTAATGCTCTCTGAGCTTTGTTGTTTTCCTGAAGATGTTTCATTATCAAACTACATCACATCATCAGTACTACCCGTACTACTTGGAGTTTGCTTAAAACTGAATGTGAATTCTGAGTGGTTTTGCCATATCCCTTAGTGGCCCTGCTGTATATTGTGTACTTCTAAGAACAATCTGCTGTCCAGATGAAGATGTTCCTCTACAAGAAAGATTTCCCTCCATATTACATTTCTCTGTGACATGGGACTTTAATTAATCCTGTGTATGAGAGCAAGTCAAGTGAAATGGCTTGCAGATCTGATTCTGAGACGTGGAGTTTAGCAGGAAAATCCAAAATCTAATCGGACATCTGTAATTGTTCCAAGAACCATTTCTATTTTTGCTGTTCTGCTTTCTAACCTTCCCCTTCAATATCTTTTGATGAAGCCGTTGTCTCTTGGTTTATTCCAGACAAGTAATTATTTCTTAGCTATGTGACAAACTCACAAACTGTTCCTAATATTGTATATATTTTCCTGGTACTGCTAGAGATTTTGTTCCAGCCAGCTGCTCATTCAGCTCATTTTCCCCATGATACACTGGAATTTCTCATTAACCAGTCTTCATTATCATTCGTCCTCTGCAGAGGGGGTTGTTGTCTGTCTGGCTATTTGTCTGTTTGTCTGCCTATCTGCCTAACTGTCTGCCTCCTTCTCCCTCCCTCCCTCTGTTCATGAATTTGTATTAGTAGGTAAGTCAACACTATCGTAAAAATACTTCCACTGATTATTTTCATGGCAGCTTTTCATAGAGGCCTCTAAGCTTTCCTCTCATAATGCAGTAATGTTCTGATTCTAATGACTCCACTGCTTCAGTAGTTTCAAAGGGTCAGTGCACAACTGAACAAAGTGTAAGCAAGGGCAAATCCTAGTTATTTGGCTACACTGAAATAAACTATTAAGAGCAGACACTTCGTTGCCTTTAGCTTTCCTTATCGTAGAGCAGTGCGTTGGCTGATGAATTCTGGGATTTGAAGTCCCCACATTTTAAAATTGTTGAGGAGATTGAGAAACACTGTTCTAGAGACACAATTTTGCACCATCTACAATGGTTAAATTAACAATTATATTTCAACCTTCCTGGGGTGATATCAGAGTGGTTAAAAGAAGTGATCCTGTGGTACTATTACAGACATTTTGACGGGATAGCAGCTGGTGAGGCTCAAATGAGATAGGCAAAAAGGTCTCCCTTACATACTTGAGAATTTGACTTTTCAGCCATTTTGTGTTTTAAATTAATCATTTTATGTACACCAACATGCAGTACTGCATCCTGAGATATGACTCAGCTCTAACCCGTATGCATAAAATGAAGAGGAGTTGATGAAATATCACAAGTCTTTCTCCAGATCCCTGGGAAACTTGTTCAGTCCTGCTTGGAATGTCTGAAGGGAATCCCCAGTCTTTGAAGCCAATCTTGGGAAGAAGCCTTTTGTGGAAAAAATAGGGAGAAATTGTCTACAACGAAGTAATAAAAATAAGTATTTGTTTAAACATTACTAACATTTGTATGACAAAAAAGAGTCATAAAATAAGAATCACTTCCCTAAAATCAGTCAATGATCTCCAGAAATTATGTTACCCTGTTTAACTTTTGTATTTGTTTTCCATGTGTTTGGGGAGAAAAGTTTGGGAAGTAGAGAGGAATTGACTTCTTTAATACTAAAATCAAGATCTTAGCATTAAAAATAAAGCTTTCTGAGAAGCATCCCCTCCTTCTCCCTTCCCTTCCATGGCCTCCAATACAGACCCATTTTCATATGATTGTAGGACATGGGAAATGCGTCTGTGGAGACTGTGCCTGCGACCCTGATTGGACTGGAGCATATTGCAACTGTACAACTCGGACAGACACCTGCATGTCCAGCAATGGGTTGATGTGCAGTGGGCAAGGCCGCGGATACTGTGCCTGTGGGAAATGTGTCTGTACTCAGCCTGGCTCTTTCGGAGAAACCTGTGAGAAGTGCCCAACCTGTCCTGATGCCTGCACCATCAAAAAGTGAGTGCCAAATTCTGATTTGGTTTCAAGAAAAAGAAATCAGTTCTTAATGTTTGAGCCTTAGGACTTCCCAATTACTCATAACCCTAGGTAACGGTACCTGCATTCTTCAGGAAAGAAATGGATTTTTATTCCGCCCCAAAAGCCAGCTACTCTTGACCTAATTTCAAAATTAGCTCTCTGAACTAAATTTTAAAAACATTTTGCAATTTTGGAATTCTGACCAAATTATCTTGGTCCCCACCAACAGCAAAGGAGACTAGGGAGGTTGTCTGTGATATTGCCTATAGCCCTTAGAAGATGGCCCCAATGAAACAAAGATTAAGTTTAGCACAAGTTTGTCAAATTCAAGTCCCAAGCTTTCAGGTGCGTTATATTTTAGGTGTTATACTGCTTTTCCTCTAACAGCAGGGTCTGAAATTTAGGATATTTAGAAGTACTAATGGTTTAGGTTTTCAGACTCAATGAGCACACAAAATAGTCAAACCTTCCTCACTTTTTTTTCCTCCACTGACAATTTAAACTCTGGAAAGGAAAGATCCAATGGCAGTGATATAAGTGATGATACATAGCCAGCAAAATTCCTTGAAATTCAAATGATCACATGTCCTATCACGACAAATGTATAAGTCCTAAATATTCTGCATTGTATGATGAGATGTGTGTTATAAACCTGTTTCTTGTTTTAGTGTATGTGCTTCTGTAGTGAACACAGAAAACTTTCTGCTCGTTTAGCAATGATTCTTTTCAGAATCAGGGACACTGAAGCACCCTCAATTAGTAATATCAGCATTTAATAAGATAAAGTACTTTCCTAGAATAACCATTATACAGTAAATTAAAATGGCAGTGGATAAATGTCTTAGAGGATTGCATCTGATTTTCAAGGATATACTGTACTGACAGATGGAATCTGTAAGATCTTGCTGCTTTTGTCAAAATGAGGAAAGCAATGTTGCACAATTGGGCTGCAAGTCAAACTTTTTCTTATATAGGTGCAACCATTTGTGTGAAAAAAGCAGGCTTTGCATTGCAGTGATGCAATACTGCCTTCATATTATACCTCTTAGTCTTCCTGTAAATGTGGCAATGGTGAGCTGTGGGTTAAATGCATAATAAAAAGGGATGATCAGTTGTGGAGACTTTACATTTACACTTTTTAAACTGTTCTGCTAAAAGATTATGTTTACACCTCTCCCTAAATTGGTAGTATGAGGGCCTGGAATGAAGCTCTTTGTCTGTATTCCCACTGGCCTGTACTTGATAGGCCAGTGGGAATAAAATCTGCAGTCATCCCTCAGATCTTTTTAAAACAATGACTGCTATTTCCAAATCATTGGGATCTGGCCATGCTTGTGAATGTCAATATTTGTGAACAGCAAGAACAAATTAGAGCGCACTTTCTGAATTGTTTTTAATCGGCTCAAATCAGGTTAGATCATATCCCAGGAGACTTCCAAAGTCTTAACAATCCTAATCAAATTCCTAGCCTGTGATGACATTATTAGTGGCCACTCAGGTAAGTTGCCTAAATCCCATTCATAACATTCATAAGTCAGTATCTTTTCCTTGTAGAATTAACTGAAAAGTCTTTCTCAGTTTTCTGGTAAAATGTTTTAATTTTTTGAAAAATATGATATGTTTTTTGCTGTCCACCTCACTGCCAAATGACTATATAACAGTAAAACTGTCTGTATCATCCATAATTCAGATTTTCTATAATGAGGTATTAAAATAGGGCTGGGAATTTTGTCTGACTTTTCTGAAAAAGTTCTGTGTTGATTATCTTTCATAATATTTTTTTCCTAGCAGTGAAGCAATTTCTTAAAAAGCTTTTTGTTTTACTTAAGAAGATACTGAGCAGTACATTATTCTTGTGCTCTTTGTACATGCATAACACCAATGTTGAACATGTTTTTTTGGCAAAAAATAAAGGAAAAAACTGAAAAGAGGGAAAATCTGAAAGAATCAAAATTTTAAACTGTTTAGAATTGTGCTTTACAGAGAAAAGTTCTGGAGCAAAACCAAGGAAAATATACAAAATCATATTCTAATAAAAATATCTAAACTCAGACAGTATAGGTGAATGTATTTTTAAAAGACAGTTCAATTTCCGTATTTTTCACATGAATGTGAAAGAAGGCATTGTGCTACCATTTCTACAGTACAAGTTAAATGACCAAAATAAAGGATAAATATAAGTTTTGTGGGGGAAATGATGTAAGGTCACTATAATTACAGCTTTTGGGGTTTTTTGCTTCAGCACGTTTATAGCATTCAAACCACAATTTAGAACAAGTTAATGTGGACTAGCAATGTTAGGTTAAATAGGTTAACTTTTTTTTTGGTAATCCTTACACTGTCTTGCTACATATGGAAACAGGAAGTTCTGCTGAAAGCAAAGAAAGATATGAAATGCTCGTAATGTCCTGAAATAATACAGCCTGTTAATTACTTTGTCCAGATGGAGGACAACCGCCTCTTTCTGTTGAAAAAAAAATAAAGTTGATAAAATATTTCAGCATTAATCTGAGTCCCATGGTTCAAACTGTCTAGTTTTTAAAGGGATCACTGTCTGAAGAAAACAGTCCCCCCCATTTCTCTCTTACAGCTGCCCATCTTACAACTTAATTCTGGATGGTTTCCCATCAAAAATACAATGATCTGCATTTCTTCTGTTCATATCCTTATTGTCACTCTCTACAAAGCTGTACAGAGAGTTCAAGCTATGTTTTCTATTTCTACTCCATCAGAGTCTTTACTGTTCGGTCACTTTTTCTACTTGCTTATTTCTGGCTAGTTTACTTTTATTCCCAGGCTTTTTGGTTTCTGTTTATTCTGTTTAAACAATCTGTTTATTCTGCCTGTTCATTCTGTGGCTGTAAAATTCTGTGTGCTCTAAAATAGAAATCTTGTTCTCTCCCTTCCTGGTTCTGCTACTTGATAGGCAGCTGGGCTGTCCTGATGCTAAGGGGAGGGGCTGGGAAGAGGCTAGCAGTGGCAGCCGATCCCTCCCCAATCAGTCAATGATTTTGATACTTTTATTGATCAAAGTGTGTGCGTGTGGGGGAGGGGGATTGTTTGTATAAATGAAATCATTATCAGGAATACAAATCTCTGGAAGTTTATTACTGTAATGCTGCTCCTTGTGTGAAACAGAACCTTTCCTGGTGGTAACTACTAAGATCTTTATGGTGCATTTCTAGATTGGATGTTTAAATTAAGAAAGTTTAAATCTGTATGTTACACGTGTCAGCTGAAACTTAAACAGAGATCGGCTTGATTGCTGGACATGTGGCTGCAGCAGTGCTTCAGTAGGCATACTGCAGCTCTTGTCAACTTGATAAGGATTGTCTATTAGGCTTTCTTGTTCCTTTTCCATGCAGATCTGTTCTCCAAGTAATCCATTGGTGCCTCCAGTGCCTTACTATCGCATATACTGCCCTTTCATAGGACTTGAGCTGACAGCCAAATTGTGTGAGAAATGGGGTCTGATCACATCACCTGATTCTTACTGTGGGTTTTCCCATCCCTTAATTAAACCTGCTGAATCAGAATCATTATCTTGTGGGCACTTGTAGGCATGTATTCATTTTTTGTTATGTCTGTTTATCCTCTGGATGAATCTGAAATGCTCATTATTTTCTGTTCTGTTTCCTGTTACGTGTCTATCTGCCCTATGTCACATTCCCCACTGGATTGCATTGGACTATTATCTTCTCTTTTTAATTGATAGGAAACCATATCCAACATGGTGATTCACAGCTTTAATAATCACTGAGTGCTGAATGTTGTCACTTGTTTATTTCTTTTCTTATTGGTACAAAATTTTTAGAATGATTTTGTTGCAGTTACAACTGGAGTCAGCATAGTTTTAGTGCCTCTACCCATGAAGATTTTTTGCTCCTGTTGCTCCTGTTGAAAGTGGGAAAGAATTTTAAGAGTGGATCAGAGCTTTTTCATCATCTGTTTCTTCTGCTTCTTCTTTCCCTTCCCTTTTCTGCTCAGGTTTCTATTTATATGACCTTGAGGCTGACTGTAGTCCATGTCTGAACTGAACCTGATAACATATCACTTCCTGTTCCATATGTCATCTCCACTGCATTCATGCTTCATGCTAAAAGAAATGTGCAACTCACTTGTCAATCTAAATGAAACATTTCCTCTCTTCAGAGGTTGTTCAGAGCTTCCGGTTCTGAGCTTTCTGTGCTGTAAATTTTTCTTTGAACTTGGTAGCCATTCTCTATGTTGCTATTTTATTTTGCATCTTCATTTCGATACACTGCTTCTCTCCCAGGTTTTGCAATGATAAAACTAAATAGATGCCACCTCACCAGAAAAAAAAAACACTGAAATGAGGCAAGTATGGCATTACTTAAAGTAATTACTTATTAATTACTGTAACTGTTGGGTTATTTTCAATTATTCTAACCAAGAGTCTAGGACTCATGGAACAACAACAATTTGAACTATATAGATGGTGCACATTTAGAAGTAATAACTTAATTGTATTATAACCACATTAACCATACTGAGAAAGAGAGAAATTGTGGCTACTCTGTGCAAATGCTATCGGGATGTAATACACAGATTTCTTGAGTTCTTTCAAAATGTTCTCTAACCAGGTTTGATTAGGTAGCCCTTCAAATAAAGAGTACATCCTCAATAAAATAAAATGCATGCCCCATTTAGTCATAGGAAACTAACAGGTAACAGAGTAAGACATCATGGAGTTGTGAGAGGAGGAAGGGAGCTAGCTAGAGAGAAGACTTCATATCATGGGACATGGCAGCAGTATTTGCTATTGCTCCCTGTTGCCCTTGTTCATGACTCTCTCTTCTGCACAGGGAATGTGTGGAATGCAAGAAATTTGGGAGAGGAATCCTGATAGAACAAGGCACCTGCAACCGTAATTGCCGGGATGAGATTGAGTTGGTGCAGGAACTTGGTATGTAAGAATTACAGTGGTGTTTTGTTTTTTTTGCAAGAACTGTTGTTGTTTTCTTCTAAATTCCTTTCCTCTTCCTCCTCCTCCCTTTTCTAACTTAGAAACTTTCCAGATGTTAAATCTAAGTTAAATGAAGGCACTCTTCCTTTAACGGAGAGCATTTAGATCTCCAATGACAAAGCCAAGGCTAAATTGTGAATATTGCCTGCTTGAGATACAGGCAGTCCTCAATCATTTGTTTAGTGACTGAGCAAAGTTACAGTGAGGCTGAAAAATGTGAGTTATGACCTGCCTTTGGACTTGCAACTGACACAGTGTCCCCATGGTCATCTCATCACAATTCAGGTGCTTGGCAAGTGGCAAGTGTTTATAGGGGTCCTGGTGTGCCAAGATCACATGACTGCCATTTTTTTATCTTCCCAGCTTCTCACAAGCAAAGTCAATGGAGGAAAGAGAGCCAGATTTGTTTAACAACCAAATTATTCTTTTTACCACCAAGGTAAAAAAGAGTTGTAAAATCAGGCATGGTCACATGGGGACTCACTTAAAAACAGCATCGCTTAACAATGGAAGTTTTACTCCAATTGTGGTTGTATGTTGAGGACTGTCTATATAGTGTTGAACACAGATTCAGCATCATCTACCCAAACAATAAACCATGCATATGCAAGACTCGAAGCAGTTAATCTCATCATTATAGAAAATTAAGGTTTTAACACAAGAATTCATGCAAGAGCTCTATTTTAAATGAGACACCTATAAATAGACAAACTATCTCAGCAGAGCTGTCTGTTTTCCTTTGCTTTTTTACATAATAGGGAAGAAGGTTTGTCTTTTTCATGAAGGAGGGGCACTTTGCATATGTAGCTTGTTTTTGGCATCTACTGTTTCTTTTTTTAATATCAGAAAACTCTCGCCAGCATATCTTCCTTTCTTGTTCATACAGAATTAATGAAAAATAGAATAGTGATGTCACACCAATTCCCCCTATAGATGTTAATAAGGATTTTTTTAAAATTCTAAGTAAAGGATCTTATAGCCTTTTATCTTCAGACTTCATAGCTAGTTTAAGAGTCACTATTCCATCGATTCCCACCTCCAGAACCTATCCAGAAAGATAACATAATATATAGTACCAGAGATCACTGAAAACTGAGCAGACACCACAGGTGTTACTATTTTAAAAAAAAGAATCAAAAGATTTCTAAAGCTGCCTTTCTCATAATTTGTGGCTCTGGGTGACATATAAATTCAAAAAATAAATAAATACAAAAGTTAATTCTTTTTTTAAAAAAAGAATAAACACAATGACAACCTACCCCAAACCAACAAAATCAAAAACATAAACCCCTCATTGAAGCCAACAATAAAGATATGCACACACGTTACAGAACAGTTTCATCCATCATCCTGGGGCAAATGCACAAGAGAGCCAGATCTTTACAGCAATATCGAAGGCCAAAAGACTCAGGACTATTAGAACCCTGGGTGAAGCTCATTCCAAAGATCAGGTGTCCCAGCAGAGAAGGCATGCCTCCAAGGTCAGAGAGGGAACCAGAACATGCCAGCCCTGTGCAGCCTCTTGAGATGGGCAGAGTTGACTGGGAGAGATGGCTCCCCAATTTATTTATTTGATTGATTAATAGGCTGCCTAACTCTCAGAGCAACTCCATCTTAATGATTCCTGAAATAGGAATGGCTTTGTAGGTGCTCTCTACGCCTTCCCTCCCTAGCACCAAGATGGTCATTTAAATAAGGTCACCAGCCAGTAATATGTGAAAACAATAAGGGTGAAGAAATACCTAGTTTTACTGTTTCCATTGCCATGAAACAATTAATAAAGGCTTTTCTCTGTGCTTAGTTGTATTCACTCCATAGGCATGGGAGGGGGGGATGTACCTTCGGACTTGCAAGATTCTGTTAATATAGCTTTACAACAAAATATATTAGCTCATCTGACTGTGTTTCCTGTCTGTTCTGCCCCTCAAAGCTGACAATGGCTGATGCCAGACCCAAAACTAGGTGGGCACATTTCAGAGAAGAACACCCCAATTCCCCATGCCCAACAAAAAATCTTGGTAGAACATACCAAGTTGGCTCCCTTCTATAATTAAGTTGTGAATGGGCCTAGGCTTTATTACAGACTGTCTTGGCATTAAAGAGCAGAAGCCAGAAAACAGAACCACCTAAAAACTAATGACTGGATGCCAGGGCAGTGCGTAGGAAGCTGGAACATGGAACTGGCACCCACCCAAATACATTTGTTGTTGTCTTCCAACAAAAAGTTTTTCATTAAGACAACTCCAGCAACTTCCATGCTAGAATCCAGCCTGAAATCAATTGGTAATGGATCCAGATAAATGGTCTAGTCTACAAGAAAATGCCTGAGAAGCCTACTAAAAATAAAACAGTACAAATTAGCTGATAAATATTGAAATAAAAGGAGGCTGTTTCAAGAAGTAAATTTACAGACATTTTAACTGCCTGTTGGAAGCAGTCAATCAGTCTCCTTCAGCTACATGTAATTAGTCAAGCAAGGTTTTAAAAGTCAGGAATTAGGCCACAGTACTGCAGCAGCCAAGAATAAAATAACCTCACAATGAGTGAAATGTTTATGTTCTGGACATATTCTTGGATTAAATAAATAATGGTGTGACATTTTGCTTGTGGCAGATATGCATGATTTTTTTTTTCTTCAGATATATCACTGCCCACTCATTGAAGGTTTCTTAATAATGCCTTTATCTACCCAGAGTATGGCCAGAATTATTGAGAAAATGCTGTTAGAAAATATTACTGTATAAGGATGAAAGTACGTTGGTGAAGCATTGACAATTATTGTTGCTGGAAAGTAGACTATATAATGAATATAATATCCTGAGAATTTTTCTTTACTGTTAAAACTTCTTTCATTTTTAGTCTGCTTTTTGGAAAACCAGAAAGCTATCCTAGCTTTGCAGAACAGAAGTTCAGGTTGTTTCTATTAAGTCAGCTTCATATTTTGCAGTAAAACTGGAAGTTTGATGTTAGTACCAACCATGTCGACGATTCCAATAGCACCCAGGAATACATTTGGATTTAATTGGCCTATAGGTAAAGCATCCTAATGGGCCCATCACTTTGGGAGAAGTGAATGATGGCTGAAGATCTGCAACTTGAGAAGGGGTTTAAAAGAAATTATTCTATATTTTCACACTTCTTCTGAGAATAGCAGATAGAAAACGTGATGTGCCACATGGATCAATGATAATGGACATATGTCTGGAAAAACAGTCTTTACATAGATGGTGAGATTTGTCAGAGTCACCCTGTTTCTTTAACATCCCTGGTGACAATTCTAGATGTAAATGCTAACTATTTCTTGATTAGTGTCAGGGAACTAAATGTTTTTTTCTTTATCCTCTTCTGCAGGAGGCAAGGGGAAAGATGCTGCGAACTGTACATATAAGGATGAGAATGACTGTGTAGTGTACTTCCAATATTACGAGGACTCCAGTGGCAAATCTATCCTCTATGTTATTGAGGAACCAGGTGAGGGCCAAGGACCACTAAAATAAGTCTTCAGTTTGGATAGCAAGTTGATACTTTTCAGGATGAGAAATGCCAGAACTCAGCTTGGTATTCCATATTAATTTGAAATGTATGAGAGAGATGATTATAGTGACGTGAGGTTCTTAAATGCATGTTTATAGGACAAGATATGGCTATTTGAGAACAAGATATGGCTATTTGAGAACAAGATATGGCTATGGAAAAACACAGATTCTAACTGAGACATGGGATGAAATACCTTGGTTTTCAGTGTATTAAATACCTTAAAAACTAATTATGGACATAACTGTACAAGCTCAACATGAATACAAAAACTGAACGTGGTTCATATTATAATAAGATAAGAGCTAGTTGACATCATAGCTTCCTTTTTCTAGCCCTAACTTTCACTAAACCATCCCCATTTTCACTGGAGCGGGGACCTCATAGATTTTTAGAGATACAAAAGGAAGTCACTGACCCTAATTACTTGTATAAGGACCATTTTCTATATTATTCATGTTGTATTGTATTTTTGTTATGGATAGCACCAGGACAAGCAATATCAATTTCATTGTATATATGTATAATGACTATTATTATTATTATTATTATTATTATTATTATTATTATTATTATTACCGTGTTTCTCATATAATAAGGCCGGGTCTTATTTTTTTTTGAGCCCTGAAAAAATGGCTAGGTTGTCTTTTCGGGGGTGACTTAATTCCCGCCCCCCTTGCATCTTCGGGCGGGCGGGCGGCGACAGCTTGGATGTTGACCTTGGTGTTGGTGGGGCACTTCGTATTGGGGTCAACGCAGGCAGCACCATATCCGGGTGTGCAACAAAAGCACTTCCTAAGGGCAAGCCCCCCCACCATTCCCCCCCCCCCATTTCGCATGTTTTAATATAGGCCTTAATTTGGGGGGAGGGGCTTAATTTCATTTCATGCCTATAAAACATGCTGGGACTTCCTATTGGGGGAGGCCCTATTGTTGGAGAAACAGGGTATTAATCATAATCACACAGTCAGCCAGATGTTCAGACTGGGTTTGGCATTTTTGTCTACCTATCGAGTCCTTATCAAGGACCTGGGATAGGCAAATCTGGATGTTTAATGGTGTTACAGACATTGCCGCAGGATGGAAGCTGTTCGAAGTCAAGCTGCCTTCTGCAATTGCAAACTTAATAATAAATAATAATAATAAATTGAAAACATCATCATCATTATTGTTGTTGTTATTGTTGTTGTTGTTATTATTATTATTATTAGATGGGCAGTTATTTGTTTATGATATGAGTTTTCTCCCGCCTTTTTCCTTCAAAAGGCAGGGAGGAAAGATCCTTGCTATCTCATTAGAAATTAGTAAACTCACAATTATCCATTCAGATTACTTTTTTTTTTTACAAGGTACATAATCATGTGAAAACAATATAGGAATGGTTCATGAATTAATATATGCAGAACAAAAGGATTAGGAAGAGATAGATCCATTAATCCTTAATTGTGGCCAATCAATTCAGAAAGAGATCACCGCTAGAAATATTTGGAAGGTGCTGAAGGGCCTATTTCCCCTGAGCCTAGGACAGCAAGGGAAGCCAATGACAATGAGGCAAACTCATTCCCCAACCTGAAATCATATTAGAAAAAAATCTGAATTATCAAATGCTTTAAATCAGGGGTCGCCAACCTTTTGGACCTCAGGGACCACCAAACTCATAATTTTAAATCCCAGGGACCACTAACCGGTTTTGTGGGTGTGGCCTAATTTGTGAGTGTGGCTTGGTGGTCATGTGACTGGCTGGGCATGGCTTGTATGTAAATATTATAAATATTTATATAAATATTGAATTTTTTATAAAAAAGAGCAACTTTTATCCAAAATCAGTCAAAGCAGGCAGGCAGATTGAGTTGCTCACAGAACCATTCAGTGATCTATCTATCTGCCATCGGCTAGCTCAGTCTGTCACATAAAATTTGCTTGCCGTGAGTCTGCACTGAATAATAGAACCTTCAGTCCTAAGGGAGGTTCGGCTGTGCTTAAAAGCAGAGCTGAAGCTCTAAAGACTAGCTAGGAAGCAAGAAATCCAACCATTTCCTGCTTCCTAGCTAATCTAAATCTCCCAGAACAGCAGAACACCTGATGGTCGGAAAAAGGAAAAATAGCAATTTAGCAGGCAAGTTTGCCAGGTAAGGAGTGAGTGGGCGGGGAGGGTTCCCGTAGGCCCTTTGGGCGGCGCAGCCTTGTGTTTCTGTGCAGCCTGGATTAATTGCTTTGGGGGGGTGCCCTGGGGGTGAGATTTCCCTGCAGCACACCAAAATTTTCTCACAGCCCACCAGTGGGCCGCAGCCCACCGGTTAGCAGCCGCTGCTTTAAACCAAATTTACCTAAGCAATATGTCTGATTTCAATAATTCATAAAGATGGCAGGATTATGTATTTCTTATTGCAATATTACTTTAGGTCAACATGAGTATAGTTCTGACTAGAGAGCACTGATTGAATCTGGCAACTTTCAGCTCAGAATTAAACACATTATCTATCATCCATGGATGGAAAGATTTTTTTAAGCCAGCTGCTGGATTTGTCTGCTTTGATATTTGACTTCAGTGACTAAATGCAAGTCCTCCTGTCTCTGCTTGCTGAGAGATGAGCAAACAGGCCCACAGACACTGACTCTGCCATAAACTCCAATGAGACAATATCTCTTTCTGCGTGCTTGTGAGCATGAAGGGGACACTAGAAATCTTCAAAGAGTGTATTCTAAACCCAAAGAGGGTGATAAAGCTCTCATTAGTTGCCAAAAGCATGCAATAAATGATATAACCTCACCACAGGGTATTAACTTGGCCGATGACTCAGACTGCACTTAGAAGGTTGACAAGGATGGCGTCTCAGGCAGATTTTGAATGAGCTTAGCCAGACCACCTCGGACAGCAATTTGAATCCAGCTAATACCACATGGGGAAACCACAAAAGCTGCCATGCTTCCTATCATAGCCTGGAGCCTTTAAGCCCTCTTTTCTCTTTAAGGGAATATTAAAAAGAATGATATAGTTAGGAGGGTAAGAAAAATTTCTGGAAATGAAATGATGGAAGAAATTGATTTGTCAAAACTTGTTTGATAGGATACAAGCTGTTGGGACCTGCAAACTTCCTGGGTCATTGAAAGTAAATGATTTTCCTAATTCAGCTTTAAATTCTTGCAGGAAGTATGTGCTGCTGTAATCTTGGGCATATTTTCTATTGTTGTATTGACTTTGCTGTCAGAAAGAGTTTGCTAATATCAAAATTGGATGTTTTCTCCAACTATGTTTCGAGGATTAGATCAAAGATGTGCTTTCTTTTTGTCAAACTACTCTATAATGGTCCCATTATGCTGAAGAGCAGCCGGCTCTAGAATAACATTTTGTAAAAAAGATGTTAGATCTTATATACTGTATTTAAATCGTACATCTGATAGTGGCTATCTCCTGAATAATTGTGCACTATGTGAAAGCCACTGATGGGTTATTTATTCCTATTAGCCTCCACTTAGCATGAAGGAAGGTCTGACTTGTAAGCTGAGCACAAAGAGTTTTTATAAATGGTCCATTCTTGCTACAAAACATCCATCTTTCCCATCGTAATAATTATGTGTCAGATATTCATGGCACTGAATTAGAGAACAAGAGCTCCAAGAACATGCTTGCAGAATAAGCCTTCTGGTTTACTGACTAGTTATATGCTCATAAATCCAACAGTAATCTTTGATTGCTGCTCCTTAGTAGGGATTTCCTTTGTCACAACAGCTTGATCAAATGCATGGATGGATGTCTTTGGTGAACTAAAGTTAAGAATTTAATGGTGGGGGGTGGAGGGTAATTTATAGCTTTGCAATTCTGTTTTATGATGCAAGTATTTTCTACAGATTGTCCCAAGGGACCTGATGTCTTGGTTGTTCTTCTTTCTGTAACTGGAGCCATCTTACTTATTGGCTTGGCTGCTTTGCTCATCTGGAAACTGCTTATTACCATCCATGACCGACGAGAATTTGCCAAATTTGAAGAAGAGCGTGCCAGAGCTAGATGGGACACGGTAAGAAATATCAGAAGTGTGTAAGGGGACAGAAAGCAAATATTTTGCTTCATCCTAAGAGGAGGGAAGGTTGCAATGACTTATTGTTTTATTTCCCTGACATAGCAGCCTATTGTTGATTCTGAATCATCCATAATGCAATATATATCAGTTTTATTGTACCTTGAGGGTGTGTTGTTAGCATTCTCCCAATAGCATGTTGTTGAAAGAAACCTGATGCCTGAACGTTATTGCATCAGCATTTCCTGCCCTCTTGCTTTATTGGTTAATGGTTGCACAGAAGTGATTATGAAAATGTGTGCGCATGTGCATAGACACACACACACACACACACACACACACACACACACACACACTATGGAGCAATACCGTTTTTAAACATCTTTCTAGGAGATACATCATTTTACTATATACCTATATGTCTGTTGCAGCTTCTTAAATAATTCAGGATGGCTATTGAGAGCACTAGGAATCACCTCACCCTGTTAAAAAATCCTATTTTAAGCTACTTGGATGACTTGGCAACTGTTAAACTAGTTGCCAAGTATATATTTTTCACCATGTATCTATTAAGTAGAAGGTACAATTATTTTTGTTGATATTTTTACACTCTGTTTTATCTTTTAGGCCAACAATCCCCTGTACAAAGGAGCTACCTCCACCTTTACCAACATTACATACCGTGGGAATTCGTGAGATTGTAGTCTTCCAAGGTCTTCTCCACTCATGTTTACAGAACTGTCTCTGTTATGGGTGTGAGAGATTTTTTTAAAAAAAAACAAAAACAAAAAACAAAAACAGCCATTGCTCAAGAGCCTTCACTGTTCTGCTGTCACAAGAAAGTATCTGCACTGTGATTCTTCCAAGACTCTCTTTTTTTTTACCTCAGCTTTCCCAAGGCTACGGCCTGGACTCATATACTGAAGAAGAAAGCAGGACTTGCTCTTCAGTATGAACAGCACTGCATAAATCCAGGGTTAAGAGAAGATGCTATCTGAAGAAAATCAGGGGGTCATGATTATTGAGCTTTACAATATAACTCAGATGTGAACTAGTGAAATTTGGGGTAGAGGAGCTTTGAAAGATTCATGATATCTAAGTCCATTGCAAACTGAACCCAAAGTCTCTCTCATCCAGGCAAACTTTCAAGGGCCTCAGCTAGCTGCTGGTGCTACCGTGTTTCTCATATAATAAGGCCGGGTCTTTTTTTTTTTTGAGCCCCCCAAAAATGGCTAGGCCGTCTTTTCGGGCGTGACTTAATTCCCCCCACTTGCATCTTCGGGCGGGTGGGTGGTGACGGCTTGGATGTTGACCTCGGCGTTGGTGGGGCACTTTGTATCGGGGTCAACGCAGGCAGCACCATATCCGGGTGTGCAACAAAAGTGCTTCCTAACGGCAAGCCCCCCCGCCATTTCCACCCCATTTCGTGTGTTTTAATATAGGCCTTAATTTGGGGGGGAGGGGCTTAATTTCATTTCATGCCTATAAAACATGCTGGGACTTCCTATTGGGGGAGGCCGTATTGTTGGAGAAACAGGGTACTACTATTGCCCCTTTCATCCATCTTTCCAAACATGCAAGAACTGGTTGGGTTGGCCAAGGAAACAGCGTGCTGAAAGTCCTTCATTACACTTTGCGCACTGCTGTCTAACACAGAACATGCAAGGAAGTGGGGGAACTTTCTTCAAAAATCGTTGCTCCTAATAAACATAGCTTAGGGGGAGAGAGAACAAGAAAGGGAATTCATTGTGGGGCTTAGGAACCTGTCCAGTTCTGTTTTGCTGTCAATACTATTGGTGGCATAAAGAAAAATTCATTTTCAAATCCAGTGTTTTACCTATTACACCAGAGTTCCAATATTGTTAGACTATTCTTTTTGTTACACATATCCCAATATAATAAATTTCTTGCTTTTAATTTTTAGAAGGAAAGAGTTCCTAGTGTGTATAGATTATTTGCTTTCTCTAGTGAAAAAAAAGCACCCAGCATTAATCCCTTTTGTACGCTGACTTCACGTATTTCTAGGTTTTGGGCTCAGATTATATTCCTCTTAGATAATATTTCACATAACAGTAGTACCTTAGTAGGGTTCACACATGATAAGTTCTAATGTGGAATTTTTGTTATTGGTTTAGCATCATGTACAAATTCATTCACTGTATTGATATTGTATATAAACTGGGCCACTGTAATTTAGTCTTTTTTTATAGAAATAGCACTGGATAGGGAGTTGCACTTGATGATGCCCAAAAAGCCTTTCATATCTTACAGCCTATGATTCTCGTCAACAAACTGTAATTTTAAAATCCTTACTGCAATGTGTGGACATCAACACCTAAGTGCATGAATATATAACAACTTGATCTTCATGGGGAAGGTTGGGGAAGAAAATGTAGATCAGGCATACCAGAGGTCCCATGTTTAATCACCAGCATGTCAGTCTAGAAATCTCTTGTCCAACAAGAGTGAGCCCTTTGAACATTGCTGCCTACCAGTACAATACAAGGTAGCTACATAAGTTCATATCATGCACCATATAAAACCAGAAATCTCCTTATAAGTAAATGACGTATTAGGTAGGATTTGCCATTTGCTTTACAATGCTTCACCCAAAGAATTGGGACAGATTCTCCTCAGGTCCTGCTTTTCACTCAGGGAATCAATACTCACCCAGGTGAGTGTCCTAGATGACCAGAAAACTCTCCCTCAAGTTTTCTGAAGCAGGAGGGACTTGCTGAAACAACCTGGCTAAATTCTTGGGGTCTTTGTATCATAGAGTCTCTAACATAGGTAAAGCATGAAAGATGTTTGGCAGGATGAAATATTATCACACCTGACTTTCAGCGGCTCTTTTCATCTTGCAGCTCTTTCCATTAGAGACTCGAGGCCATATCTAAACTTGGGAGCAGAATAATATAAATGTGCCTTTCCTTTCTCTTTTGCTTTTCACAACTGCATTAGTACCTTTACTGCTTTGACACTTCCTATAAATATACGTAGCCTCCTTGGATCTCTCTGCCGTCTTTCTGCTTCTGTAATTAAGAAAATGACATTTCATTCTCCTATTAATAAATGTTGAACACAAATTTGTTACTAGAAATACTAGAAAGATTTTCATAAAAAGATTTTCTCTTAAAAAGATTTTCTCTGGGATGATGATTTGCACTGAACCAACTTTGAGGTATACCTTTTATGATTTCCCACAGTCATTCTTCTAGTTCCCTTATCCCAAAGTCAATGTATTCTCATTTTCAAAGTTGTTGAATCCTAACTATTTGTTCAAAAAAAAAAAAAAAAAAAAGGAAAGAGGCCAAGAAGTGAGGCTGCTTTTTCCTGAACTGAGGTCATAATGAAAGGCAGAATTATTTTGAGTAGTGATTGTTAAAAGTAAGGCCAATGTGACCCTTTGTATAAGTAAAGGAGTGCCTATGGCACACATAAATAAAGAGTTTCAACTCGCTAATGTATTTGGCCTGTCTAATTAATATTTCTCAATTTTATTTTATTATATTTGCTTTTATTTTATTGTAAAATGATGGGAAGTTATCTTTTAGTTCAGTTAAAATATAAAAACTGTATAAATCATAGGGGGGGGGGTAATTATTTAAATAATACAAACACCAACACAGAGAATAATAGCACAGCACATTCAATATGAAATCATCATTAATAGCAGTTGTTTACTTCTAAGGTTCCTAGGGTGTCACCACCAAAAAGCCCCTTCTTTTTGGGAAAGCATTCAAGAGGAGATTGAATTATTGCCTTTGCTGAACTTTTCAGAGTCAAAGTAGGATAATACTTGAGGAGATGTTCCTTTGAGTGATCCGTGCCCAAGACATTTGTGTGTCATATACTGAACATATATTTTAAATTAGGCCTGGAACTGGCCCGATAGCTTGCGCAGATGCCAAAGAGTTGGCCTACTATTGGATTGGTGAAACCCAACGGTCTATCTGTCTATTGTGAACTAGCTGAACTTTCCAAATCATTTGTCTGATTCATAACAATAATCCAGCTGGGAATTTATCAGTAAAGGAACAGAAGGGCTGACCTCGGGGATGGAGTGAGAACCATGGGGGTAGTGCAATAGGAGTGAGCTGTTAAGGAGGGACTGAAGGAAGCGTGAGAAACAAACTCTAAATATGCCTTGATTTTGTTTACTATAAAAATGTGACAGAGAAATAAATTGAGCAGGCTTTCAAGATTCTCTCATAATCTACAACAACAAGGCAGCATTTCTGGAATCCCTGTGATCTGGCCTACTTCGAAGTGCAGACATCAATCTTGGAAAAAAACCTTTTCATGTTTCTTTATATTCCATCTTGTACTAAGAACAACACAAATCAGGATGGGATTAGTTTGTCTCTCAGGCTTCCTTCTACTTGTTCACGAGTATATTAACATCTTACACACACACCCTGTGCCCTTTTCACCCCCCAAATAGCACTCTCAGAATTTCCCCAAGATGAGTGCTAAATTTCTTTACTGGAGCAAGAATAATGGTTATAGAGCTACCTTTGTCCAGATAAGGTCAACTTAAACATTCAGCAAGGCCTCTTAATTTTCTGGTGATAATTTTGTGTTAGCATCCTCTATGTATCCCCTTCCAGAACAGAATGGACACTATACTGAGTTGGACAGATGAGCCACGCATTGGCAATATCTCTGCCTTATCCAGGTTGAGCCACAATTTAACCTTCTTCCTATTTATTATCCCTCTAGAAAAAGGCTGTCATGGCCATGTTTTAGCAAATGGGAAAAAAAAGTCGTGATATATCACGTGACGCTGCCATGACGACACGAGTTTGACATCCCTGCTCTAGAACAAGGGACTCCAAACTTGACAACTTTAAAACTTGTGGACTCCAGAATACTCAGGCACTACTGTGGCAGGCAGAGGAATTCTGGGACTTGAAGTCCACAAATCTTTAAAGTTGCCAAGTTTGGAGGCCTCTGCGCTAGAAGATTGACTGCTTTGCATGTTTTAGACAAAAACGAGAAATAAAGCCTGAATCCATATAAGTCACATTATATCAGTATACTGAGAAATTTATTTATGGCATATATTTATAAAATATCTTACATGAAATAGAGAAAGAGAGCCCCCCAGCTGAAATTAGAAAAGCAATCCCATATTATTGCTTACATGGAATAGTCAGCCAGCTACTGAAAGAAAGGGGAATCCTCTGCATGTTACAGCTGTCTAGGAGAAGATATTTTATGAAATACAATTTATTTTTTCCTTCTCTCCTTGCTATGGTGTTCCAATCAAATCATCTCTTTCAGTGCAATGATTAAAAGCGGCAGGAAAACTAAAAAGAAATCTGAACTGCTTCCATGGAATGCACAAACCATAAAATGAGTGAAGATCAACATGACACTTAGTTCATTTCTTACCTGCTGCCCTTTTTTAAAATTAGCATTTCAGGTGCTTTCTTATTAGCTTGAGGCCTTTATATGAAGCCAGATAGATTTTTTAAAAATCTAGGGTTGGGTGGACAGTGACATCTAGAGGCCCTTTGTGGGACTACATCAGAAATGCAGGCAGTTACAACAGCACATGGGAAATGTCAGAGTTAGAGCAATGTTTTCAACACCATAGTTGTAGGATACCAGCAATGACCAGTGTGTATAAAATGGAAAACCTAAAAACATTGGAAGTGATGGAACTCTGCATAACATGAAAATGCAATACAAAGGTGAATGCTAAAGAACTCATTTAAAGATCAGATTCAGGATATAGAAGGTACATTGCATGATCAATATTAATCAAAAATATAAGTGGATGGGGCATGTTATACACATGCATTGTAATAAATGGGCCCATAATATTCTGGTTGTCCTATAAGTTTGGGTGCCCAGATCCATGCCCTCTGAGCTGGAGATGAAAAGGGGAAACTTAGGCTGCAGTTGGACCATTACAGAAATGGACTGTGTAGTTTTGTTTTGGGCACTTAAACAATATATTGATTGAAGAACTGACTATGTAGAACATCCGACTATATACTGCAGAGTTTTCCCAACCTACTGATCTCATGTAAGTTGGAACATATCCTTTCTAGATTTGTTAGTTGAGAATGATGGGTATCGTAGTCTTAGCATATATGTAAGTCCTAAACTAGAGAAAGCTAAACTGCTGTTTTCTGCTGCATAATTTTACTACAGGT